CCTAACGCTGATGGGTTAAACTCATCGCTCCAGAGAGCCAGTTTGTGGTGTTAAAGCGAAGGTTACAAAGATCTGATGCAGTTCTGGCTCTGTGCTGGTTTCCTTCCTGCCTCTCACCAGTAACAAAGGCAACGAAGAAGCTAGTTGGTTTTACTTTTGTTGGTTCTCTCTCGGTCATTTCACTCCCAGCTTTTCATGCTCCAGCCCAGTGACACAATGGGTTGGAAACAATGCAGGGAATTGTTTGGTTTTAAACCCAACTTCTCACTAGAACTCTTTTTTATAAAAAAAAAACCTCTCCGAATTTTCCACTGACCTCTGTAAAAGCTGATTATACACGATGCTGAAGTGTGGGGTTTAAATCTGACCTGACACTTTCCAGTGGAAAGAGAACACCTTAGGCTCGTTACGTGGCCGTGGTCACTGACAATTTTATGCAACATAGACGAAAATAACTTTAAGAAACTTCGCCCCTCGTGGCCTGAGAGACGGTCTGTCTAAGGCCGTCAACTGACTGCTTGGGCTGGTCCCCGGAAAAAGCCCCTGGCATTCCACGTAAAAAGACTGCTTCCTAAACCGGGTTTAAGTTGGTAACTGGCTTGCTCTGCTGGGCGTGAGGGGAAAGTAAATACTGGGCTGCTGGAAGGTGAAGTGTTTGAAATGTCTTAGTTTAAAAAGTTTGCTGTGTCCTGAACCAAGTTATCAAAACTTTCCCCAGAGAGAACTGGCTGTCGATGGGAAAGAAAGGGCCGAGTCGGCAGAACTACGGGAGCGTAGCCCACAGTCTGCTGTAGCGTGAGCATTCCTATCTCGTCAGCATGTATTTGTGTCCAAAGCACTTATTCAGGGTTCTGGGTGCTTGTGCACATGCTAGAAGTCATATGAGCATAGGGACAAGCAGCCATAACTCTCTCCCATCCGCCCCAAAACAGACGCTGTCTCTCACAACATAAATGGGCCCTATCATCAACTTGCCATCAACAAAAACAACAAGGAGTCCGGTGGCACCTTAAAGACTAACAAATTTATTTGGGCCTCAGCTTTCATGGGTAAAAAAACCTCCCTTCAGATGCATGGAGTGAAAGTTACAGATTAATATACGTTAATGCCTGCATCTGTAACTTTCACTCCATGCATCTGAAGTGAGGTTTTTTTACCCACAAAAGCTTATGCTCAAATAAATTTGTTAGACTTTAAGGTGCCACCGGATTTCGCGTTGTTTTTGTGGATACAGACTAACATGGCTACCCCCTGATACTTGCCATCAATAGTTGCCTTTGGTATCCCTCAACCTGTAGGGGTTTAGTCAGGTCACCTCAAGCCCCTTAAATTCCACCTGGAAAGGAACTGGAAGCCGGTACCTGTTTTGGAACAATTCCCTGTGGCCTGTGCTCCTAAAACCCCACACCTTCCCCTAGCTGTGCAGATTTCCAAGTGAAAAGCAGGGGAGGAGAAATTCCTTCCTGACCCCAGCTGGCAGCCATGACCAGAAGCATGAGCATCAATAACTCTTATAACGTTCACCTAAGTATTGGGACAATGGATGCTGTTTTTCATACCCTTCCTACAGCACCAATGCTTTGCAGGCAAAGAGAGGTCCTAAGAACATGCTGACCAAGTTAGACACAGCATAGCGAGGGATGGGATGGGGGTTAGGATCAGAACACAGGCTGTGCTTTTAGTATGAACACCCCTTGTTGGCTGCAGGTCAATGTTTAGTCCTCTTCTGACAGCTGTTGAAACCACTTGCTTCCCTTAGTAATATCCTCTACTGGGCAGTTCACTGGTCAGTTATGTGCTTTTTACAGAGGGAGACGCAGGCACTGTGTGTGTGTGGGTGGGCGGGCGTTACTGGAGAAATAAGGGCTCGCTTCCTGCCCAGCTTCCCCATCCCTGTGGCAGCCTGGAAACACTGCTGTTCACCAGGGTCGCTGAATGCAGTGCTCTTGGTGGAGCCAGTCTTCAGAGGCTGCAAGCCCTTAAGTGATCAACTTTTGGGAGCGTGTGATTGTGGGGTGTGATTTATGGGGTGCCTGTGACGGCACAGCAGGCTTGGCTCTGGGTACCATGGTGTCACGACCACTTAGGACACATTGACGCAATTGTCCAGGAAGTGTGGAACATAATGAAACAATTGATGGGGGAGACAAAGAAACAAATGACTTCTCAGGTTCCCTTTTTGGATAAGCTTTTTTTAACTGAGGGTGGTTAACGTGTGTGAGGTCAGGAGTGGAGCTGTGGAAACCAGGTCTAGTTGTGTTTTTGATCTCTGTGGCTAAGCCACATCAACGTAGCGCGGGGGTGAGGGGGGTGGTTTTTCGGCGCTGTCTGTATAGTCACAGGCGTCAATAGCTGCCAAAGAGCAAAGTGGATTCTCGTGTCTCCTGCCAAGACAGAAAAACTGTCACCTAAATATGGGTGCTGGAATCTCCTACGGTTGTGGGGGGTTTACGTATCTGTGACGTTATGCTGTTCCCCCCTCGGTGCCCACGGAGAAAGCGGAGTTTGCAGCCCTGGCTGAGAACTCCTGTGTCACAAGCTGAACCAGTTGGAAGTGAATGATACAGAGGCACCAACCTGTCGCTCTAACAGCATCTGCTCTGATTGGCGCGGGCTGCGCGTTGGTGCAGAACTGGGGGTCAGGGCTCTCGGGGTCTGCGCCCAGCACTGCCACTGACTGGCTGTGACCCTGAGTAGGGCATGTCCCCAGCCGGAAAGCAGGATAATACCGCTCTGCACGCTCCTCTGGCTCCCCTGGGTGAAGAGCGCTAGAGGAGCGGGGTGCCGCTGGGTGCCGTCTCTGAGGGCTTGGCCAGGGCCACTGAGCTTGGCAGATCAGGCAGGATGTGCTCGAGGCCGGCAGGAGTTTGGACTCCAGTGGCCAGGAGGGAAGGCACCTGGGAGGGCTCTGAAGGCAGCGGGGGTTGACTTGGCAGGACAGCGGGGGCGGGAGGCTGTACGTAAGGGGTTCTGTGGCAAAGGCATGGAGACTGGGGGGGCGAAGCAGCAAATGGGCATTGAGGCTAGTGTCATGGAAGGGGAGGCAGTGGGAGCCCTTGGCCCTACAGGCTGACTCTTTCGAGGACGCTGCATGCTTTACTCACTCCGGCTCCTGGCCGCTCAGCGGCTCTGGGGAACGCCCCTTCCGTGCTGAACCAGAGGCTGGCGCTCAGGGCACAGGTTGAACGGCCTTCTGAGGCATTGCACAAACTTTCCTCGCATCCCTCTCAAAGCAAGTGAGACTTTCAGCCTCGCAGAGGAAACTTCCTGAAAGTGGTTTGGGGCTGGATGGGGCGGAGGGGGGGGAACTGAGAGTCTGGGGTTGCTAAGAACCTCAGAAGAGAAGTGAATCTAGAGGCTGATGCTCTTCCAAGAAACTCTAAGTTGAACTAGGAGGTCATGGATGGAGTTTCTGCAGAGTGGGGAGGAGAGGGGCGGAATAGTTTCCGGGGGGGCTTAGT